TGAACCTCGCCATCTCCAGAGGGCACGTGAGTATCCCTTTCCATGATCCGGAATCTGTTATTTTGCATTGTACGGGGTTATAAATGGCCATTACTTTGACTGATTCCTATGTTGTTAATCCCCTCCAACTTTCTTGTATCCGCGAGCTGCTGGTCCATATCCAGTATTTGGCTACGGTAATCCTGCAAGAAGGAAATGGTTTACTCACTGGTGACCTGTAGCTGATGTTCTCTTCGTTATACACAGTCGCTTGCGGAGGCACCACAGCCAGTCCGGGGAGCGAGACCGTCCTCGAGGCAGGACAGACGGTGTGCGTGGCCTCTCCGCGCTACCCCGACAACTACCCCAAGAACTGGGACAACAACTGGACCATCAAGGTAGGACTCCAGCAGGCCCAGGAAGCCTGTGTGTGACTCACACCAAAGGCTTTCTGTGGCGCCACTTGTCTCACACCACACATCTCCACAGGGGGCCACGCCGAACGTGAGGCTGGAAATCAGCTGCTCGCCCGTGGCCATCGAGGGCAGTCCGTCCTGCACCAACGACCGCCTCGTCATCATGCACAAGTGCTTCTGGAGCAAGTGAGTTGGAAATGTAGATTGCCTGCTTTGCTTTAGCTCCTATGGGAGGAAGTCCCAAGGCTTGGACTGACGCAAGTGACTGTGGACACTCGTCCTCCTCACAGGTACTGCGGGAAGAAGCGGCCTGAGACCATCACGACGTGCGGCCCCTGGGCCAGGCTCACCTTCCGGACCAACGGTTCAGCGCAGCAAAAGGGCTTCTACTGCACCGTCACGGCCTCAGAATGTACGTGCAGCAGCCACGCCCTTACGGTAGCGCCTTGGGGCCGGCGTGACACCTGACACGTTTGTATGGCCAGTCAAGTGAACAACGGACCTTTCTGTGCAAGAGCAACTCCATTTTTGACGATGTTTTTTCCTTTTACAGTAACAACTACAAGTTCAACAACCACTTCAGCCACGCCAACTACGGCCACAACCACCACACCAACAACTACAACCACCACACCAACTACAACTACAACCACTACGACCACACCAACAACTACAACCACCACCACACCAACAACCACAACCACCACCACACCAACGACAACTACAACCACCACCACACCAACGACAACTACAACCACTGCTACCACACCAACAACTACGACCACAACCACCACCACACCAACAACTACAACCACCACCACACCAACGACAACTACAACCACTACGACCACACCAACAACCACGACTACAACCACCACCACACCAACGACAACTACAACCACTGCTACCACACCAACAACTACGACCACAACCACCACCACACCAACAACTACAACCACCACCACACCAACAACTACAACCACCACCACACCAACGACAACTACAACCACTACGACCACACCAACAACCACGACTACAACCACCACCACACCAACGACAACTACAACCACTACGACCACACCAACAACCACGACTACAACCACCACCACCACACCAGCAACTACAACCACAACTGCCGCAACCACCACAAGAGACCCCAATACTTTACCTTGCAGTAAGTACTACAAAGTTTGCTATCCTTTGTAGGATTCAAAAGAACTCTAGACAGCATGCTTACTTTGGCCAACCTACGTAATGTATTATGAGTATGTCCTCACTTCCAAACTTGCTTAAATACAGTATGCTCTGCCTGTGCTCTCCTCATAAAGTAAGTTTTCGGCTTCCTCGCCATCGTCCTGTTGTTAGCATGCCCAGACTTCCCGGAGGAGGGACTCGGCACTCCACCTCTCTCCTCCCCCCCTCCTCCCACAGAGTGCGGCGTGCCCAACAGCGCCAACAGGATCGTAGGCGGGGCAGACACCGAGGTCAACGAGTACCCGTGGCTCGTGGGGCTTTCCGACCTGGGCGGGACGGACAGGCCCTTCTGCGGCGGCTCCATCCTCAACAACGAGTGGATCATCACCGCCGCCCACTGCGTCGAGGGGTACGTGGTCGCGCCTGCGGTGCACGGCAGCCCAGCCACAGCTGCGGCGCATGCGCACTTTTGGATTGGCGCAGGGACACGAGGCCGTCTGTTGGTGGTGGCAGTTCGTTGATACTGAACTGACATCAGAACGCTCCTGTAACGACGCAATTCTTGAGGAACTAATGGTCATCTCCTCCCCAGAGTGTCGCCAAGCAGCTTCCAAGTTCTGTTCAACATGCACGACTGGAACAATGGGCCGACTCGCATCATCAAGAGATCTGTGGACCGAATTGTCATCCACCCACGATACAGCAGCAGCACGGTTAGTCACAAATCGCACAGCCTTTGCAGGGACAGTCGAAACAGACAGGTAGCTTACTCCCCAGTGAGTCCCCTTCTGCCTTGCTGATTGGTCCCTCCTCTCTTGCCCTGCACAGTACGACAGCGACATCGCGCTCGTCCACATCGCAGACAAGGTCAGCTTCACCAACTGGCCTGGCATCAAGCCTGTGTGTATGCCTCCTTCTGGCTCGGATTATGCCGGCATGGATGCCACGGTCACCGGCTGGGGCACCACGTCGTCAGGTGAGTGCCCCTCCTTCTGTGCTGCAAGTCTCTGGGATGGAGCAAGGCTCCTGAGAACCGAAATTTTGCCATGTTATTATGACTTCTATTGGGCTTTGCAGGTGGCACGCAGCCAGAGGTCCTCCAGGATGTGACTGTGCCCATCAGGACGCAGTCTGAGTGCCAAGCAGCTTACGGAAGCCAGGTTACTAGCAACATGATCTGCGCAGGTTTGCCCGAGGGAGGGAAGGACTCCTGCCAGGTGCGTCTCCCGTAGATTGTCCAAGTCCCAGCTTTTCCTCAGTGGCTGGAAGCTCGGTGTCGAGCGGAGCTCCAAAATGTTCATGATTAGTGTGTAACTCACATTAACTTCTGTTTGTCGGTATGTAGAATGCTACTTCAGTCGCTCTAAAAATTGCTGGCATTGGCAGGGCGACAGCGGAGGCCCTCTGACGGTGCAGGAGGGAGATGGACGCCACTACCTGGCCGGCGTGGTCAGCTGGGGCAGCGGGTGCGCGCTGCCAGGCAGATACGGCGTCTACACCGACGTGCCAAGTGAGTTGTAGGACTGTTACTGTCGAATCACACACACACATGCACACACACCAACGCAGTCCATCTTCGCTGCATACCCAGGCGCAAGTCTCACCCAGGCTCCTTCCTCTCTAGATTACCACACATGGATCCACAACATCGCCACCACCGGCAGATTCTGTGGCCTCTAACAGGCGCTCTTCTGCGCCGGGATGACGTTAGCGGCGGTTCTGCTGGCGGCCTCGTCTCTGCGTATGGATTCCTCGCCTATGACGTCACGTTTGCGGGCACTTTAGGCTTCATAGATCGAGAAGGAAGAGATCCTGTAGAAACCACTTCTTG